TGCCGCTGCTACTGTTGCTGCTACTGCGACGACGGCCACTACTACTACTCCTCCTCCTGCTGCTGCTGCTGCTATTGCTACTACTACTACTACTACTACTACTACTGCTGCTACTGCTTCTGCTGCTGCTACTGTTTCTGCTTCTGCTTCTGCTTCTGCTTCTGCTACTGCTACTGTTACTGCTACTGCTACTGCTACTGCTACTGCTACTGCTACTGGCTACCACCACCACCACCACCACTACTACTTCTACCTCTCCCACTCCTCCTTTTGCTGTGCAGAAACCAGATCTTGCCATTCGCTTCAACCCTTCAGAGACAGGTCGCCGAGAAGCAGCGCTTACTGCAGCGGCTCATACAGCCCTTTGTGATGAGGCCAGCCGGCCTGGCTTGGTGTTCAGAGTTGGGTACACCGTGGACAACTGACAAGCTGCATGTGTGCTGTATGCCGTGGCTTTCCCATTGTCCGGAGCGAACAGTCTGAGGCGGCTCAAGTCTGACAAGAAGATCGCGGCCGACCTCCCAGACAAAGTCGAGCAGTGTCGCACCTGCACAAAGGGGCTGCAGGCAACAATTTGAAGGGTTTTGAGGCGGAGTGGGGCCATGCCTGAGGTAGGGAGGGGCCTTTCGATTGCGGTTTGAGTTCATCCTGCTCGTTTGTGGCCCTTGAGTCTCAGCAGCTTCACGAACACTTCTGGCATGAAGGGCGCCACCTTCCGAGTTGTCTTGCAATCGTAGCTGGTCTTCCGCCCCAGGAACCACGACTGTGAGCTCTCGCCCGTGCAGGCCGACTGCATTGCTGCCGGGTTTTGCTACGCAGAACTACTTGCGGCAACTTGCGGAGCCATATGCTATCATTCCTGAGGCTCCAAAGACCAGCATGGCCGTAGTCAAGTTCGAGAATTTCTAATCCAGGTTTTTGTGGAAGCAGACTCGAGCAAACAAAGCCTCCCTTGACTGATTCTTCTCGTGCTCGCTGCTCCTCCTAAAGCCTTGACCAGGAGACGTGCTACCAGGCGCTCCAGGCCTGCAGCTGTGTTTCGGGCTCCGCGGTTTAGGCGGTTTGGAGTTGGTTCAGGCATGCAGGTCGCAGCAAGGCAGCTCAAGTCAGCGTCATTGTTCTGTTGGGTGGTGCCCTTTGCTTCGTTTGAGTTGCTGGCGTGCGAATACTTCTGTGACAAGCACACCTCGCCGAACTGACGAAATCCAGCCATTGGCCTCCAGTTTCATGGCCTACTGCGATTGCGTCTGAATGCATACCGGCTTTCTCCTGACACCACTCGGCCGTCTGTGAAACCCGAAAGTCAGGGCTGTGAACCCTGAGTCCTGAATCCCAAGTGAAGCCGGAGTGCGAAAGCCAAACCGATAGTTCTGCGCCCAGCTGCCTCCCTTCCCGAGGCCTCTCCTGCCTTTAGCTTCTCGCGTTGATCGCTTCCTCCCCATGCTTCCTCTTCCGCGCACCTGCACGTTGAAGCACTAAACGAGAACCCGAAACCCAGATCCAGAAGCCTTGTGCTTTAAACAGCCTAAACCTGGCAAGGAGAAGGGCCAGAGAGATGCCGAAGGAGTTCAGGGCATCGAGCGGCGTGGCCAGGTCACCTCGCGGCAGAGGGTTGAGGTCCTGGTGGTTTCTTCCCCCGGCTGCAAGGGGCAGAGAGCACAACTTGGGCGTGGAGGGAGAGGCAAAACCAGCAGGAGCAGCTTCGGCTTAGGCTTCAAAGATTGGGGTCATGAAGCTTCGTTGCACCTGGTGCTACTGCGATTTGCTATTCAGTGATCTCAGCTCTTGTCTAACTTGAGCGGAGTTTGCTACCAGAACCGGAGCCTTATTCGTCGAACCTCCACCGTAAACCCAAATGCCCAAAGCCCCGGTATTGCTGCAGGTCCTCGCCATGCTCCACGCGCTCCGGAAGGTGTGCAACCATCCGGCGTGTCTGGATCCCGAGAAGTATCCGCAGGAACCCGAATCCAGTGACTCGAGTGAGAGTTTGGGGCTTGGGGTTTGACGGGGCTGGGGAAGACCTCCATACTTGGGTGCGGCTTTACACGGTCGCGCTTCGGTCGCAATTGTCGCAGTCATAGAGTTTGGCTTTCAGGGCTTCGGGCTGGAACTATCCTGTCCACGCAGAAGCAAATGCTACTTTGCAGTGCAGAAGAGAGAACGATTCGGTTTACACTCCGGGAGTCACGGTGTTCGTCCTCTATCTGTAACGGCTTTGGGCGACGGGTCCAAGGACATGTGCTCGTTGTCTTGCAAATGAGACTATGGTCCTTCAAGTTGACTACCGAGTGATATGAAGCGAGGACCACCCATTGACAACACGTGTAAGCCACTTTATTAGCACAGTGTACTCCAGCCTGCAACATCCACGAACGGGCCCATAGGAATTGGAATTGTTGGTGACAGCAGCCCTCATAGTTCCTGTATAGTGATACTTTCAGATACTATAGAACCCTGTTCCAATTATTAAGTAGGCCGCTAAATAATTGACTTTGTACACCCTTTATACTTTATAGGGGCCCTCAAGAACCCTGTTCTTCTTGTAAGGCCCCTCTAATACAAGAAATCCTACACCAGGGCACCGAGCAGATCCCAAAGAGCTCCGACATCGAGGCTAGTGGTAAGTGCGTCCCTTGCCTTTATGACAGGGTTCCAGCGTTTTGGGCTGGGTTTGCGGTTTCGTGGATTGGTTCTCGGCACAGAGATGATTTTTTGACTTTCTGATCTTGCAGAAAAATACGGGTACGGCATGGTGAGGATGCAGGCTGCTACAGGTACAAAGGCTGTGAGGGACAGCTGCCAGGTCCAAAGCGGCATATACAGGAAAAGAGAGCCGAGTGTCAAAGCTTGAGGAGCTGCGTCGTCAGTGACTTGCGTCACTGTGCGTTCGCATGGGGTAAAGCGAAATCTGATTCGCTTGCTCATTGCCATCGTTCTTGCCACGATCGAAAGTTTTGCTTGGAATGAAGGCTGAAGGGTCTTCACATCCATGAAATCAAATTATGGGGCCGCCTGCGTTCCCCGGTCCTGGTACACCATGTCCTGCGCCGTAACCAACATAAGTTCACGAAGCTCTATGACATGAGTCCTGGAGCCTGTAATCCGAAGTCAGCATTGAGCTCCCATTCCATTCTGGACTAAGGCGAAGCTACATGAGCTCTTGCATAGCATCATCGCGGCGCCACCTGGCCTGGGCAGGGTTCGGGGATGGTTCGTTCATTCCGAGTAGTTTCTTTCAGCTGAGAAAATGGCAGAGGGGAGACTTTCTCTGGTGGTCGCCGTCGTCGGGTCTTCGCACTGACTGTTGGAGATTGTAGGCAGGCAGCATGATGCTTACAATCGTCGTGTTGCTGGTGACGGTCATAGCGGACAGGAGCAGGATAGTAAAGATTCTCTTGTCATCGTTGGTGACGAACATGGTGGAGATCTGGCGCTGAGGGCTCTGATTGTCAGACAGGCTTGTTGCGTCTCTGTCGTCTGCCACAACCGTTTTGAGATCCACCGAGGGAGGAGAAGGTGCTTATCTTTTCAACTTACCTGGCCACGATCAGCCTTCTGAAGAGCCAGATCGAGGAGAATTTCAACAGCAAGGCACGCAACCGGGTCTTCGTTGGCTCAGGCAGCTGAGGATGCCGTGTCCTTCCCTTTCCCTGTCCCCGAACCTGTCGGGTCACCCGCACCGGGGCTCATACACCGCACACCGAAGTGTGCACAAGAGTCCCCGGATCCTTGTCCAGTTGACATTGGCTTCTCTCACTTGTTCGTTGCCTAAGCACGGCTGCCTTGAAAGGGTGGACCAACTCAACTCAGCAGACCTTTCTGAAAGCCGTGAGGTTGCCGAGGCACTGATGCTAGTAGACTTTGTGCATGTGCAGAACCTGCTGCTGCAGCCATTTTGTCGGGTAGCCTGTCGGACTCGTAGAGAAGACGATCCAGTAAATTCTTCGTCTCGAGGCGATCGTGACTAGTGCCGGGACAAACTCGGGTGGTACTGCACTCTAAGTTGAAAGTTCCAAATTCTTGTGACAAAAATTGAACCGAAACAAACAACAATATACATATACATATACGCATACATACAACATATGTGTAGAGACACACACGCACACATCTAAAAAAGACAGTCCCATGGCGTCGGCGCAGATGCCCAGAGGCTCGAACGACCCGCCCGGTATGGAAGCCGACGTTGCTGCGGGTTCGGAGACTCGTCTCGACCCTCTAGCGGCCAGTGCTTTCCGCTGCTTACTAGTTACTAGTTACCACTTGTACAACTGGGGAGTTGTACGAGTCTGTGTTCCAGCAACGCCGAACTGGCGTAATGACCCATCGTACCATCATCATCACCCCTCCGCAGGCCCTCCTCCTTTAACAACAGCAACCACTACTCCTGCAAGTGCTCCTGCCACCACGAGTGCAACAGCTGCTGCTGCTAGTGCTGTTGCTACCGCGGCTGCTGCAGGCTGCTAATGCTGCTATTGCCGCTGCTGCTGCTCCTGCTCCTGCTCCGACTCCTACTGCTGCGACTACTACGAGGACGACGCCTACTACCACTGCTAATTCCATTTCCACCATCAGCACAACCGCGAAGCCTCCTCCAGTTTCACCACCACGACCGCGACCACGACGACTACTACACCACGACGACTACTGCTACTCCCACTGATGCCACCTATGCTGCTGCTGCTGCTGCTCTTGCTCCTGCTGCTGCTACTTCTACTTCTACTTCTACTTCTACTTCTACTTCTACTTCTACTGCTACTACTACTGCTACTACGACGACGACGACTGCTACTACTACTACTACTACTACTACTACTACTACTACTACTACTGC